CCTGTACATTGAACAGAATAAGGAAATACTGAATGGTCTAAAATCAGGAAAGTTGTGTACCAGGGTTGTATTCATTCAACATATTTAGATTGAAGTTGTCTAAGACTTCATTTTTCTTGGATCCACCATCAATACTCATGGAAGCCACAGTCAAGAAATCAAATGTTATTACATTAGGCAAATCTGCTGCCCAAGACTTCTTTAAAATGTTCAAGAGCAAAGACACCAATTTGAGGACTAAGGAGTGTGTTGTCCAGCCAGGGGATTTTCAGTCCTGGACACTGAATAAGGACAACAGTAGATGCATTTGAGCTATGGTGTTGGAAACGTTTATTAAAAGTACCGTGGACTGCCAGAAGAGCAAACAAATCTGTGTTGGAAGAAGTATAGTCAGAATGCTCCTTAGAAGGTGAGACTTGTCTCTCATACTTTGGACATGTCATCTGGAGGGCCCAGTCCCTGGAGAAGGGCATAATGCTTGGTAATATGGAGAATCAGTGGAAAAGAGGAAGACCCCTACTTTGTCGAGAAGAATGGGCACAGTTGCGGTAGCAAGGTGCTCACGCAGAACCATTGTGAGGAGGGCACAAGGCTAAGGGTGTTTTAATCTAATGTGCCTAGGGTCACTATGAGTCAGAGCAGCTAGGGTCCTTATGAGTCGGAGCTGACTTGACTGCACCTAACAACGTGAGTCGAAATGGACTCAATGGCAGTAAAGTTGGTCTGGGGTTGTATTAATAGGTAGCGGCCTACTGGGCTCAAACATACAGATGGTGCAAGGCCAAACCTGGCAACCTGTGAATCTGCTCTACTTACTGAGCGCCACGATTCGGCCCTGCCCCCCTCTGTCCTTCCTAGCCCCGCGCGCCCCTGCCGGTTGAGACCAGCCCACCTCCGCCCCCTCTCTTCCACCGCAGGCCCTCCCTGCGCCGTCCCAGCGCTCACAACCAGACGGCTCTGCTGACCAGGGGCTGCCCCGACTGGGACCTAGCCCGGCGCGTAATCCCTTGTGAGTCCCGGGGCTGGCGGGGCCACAGCTGCGGGATGGGCCTGAGCGCCGCAACTGGGGGCCAACACGGGCTCCGCCTACCTCGGTTGCCCCGGCCTCGCTCCAAATCCGCCTCCAAAGCTTCCAGTACTTGGACCCCAAGAACCGCCAGGCTGCTTTCTGAAGGTCAGCTGTGCCCCGGGTGTTTGCCCTGGGAATGTCCTCCTCACCCCCCATGCCCCCAGGCCATCTCGAGATTCTGACTACTGTGCCGCTGACCATAGCTGGCCCTTGAATTTCAGAATTCACCTTTTGATTGTGTGAAACACCTGTTAAGCATAATGGCTCATTTGCTATTAATTTATTTAGAGCTAGGACTCACCCCGGGAGCTGGCATCCAGCAGCCTTGCTGAACCTTCCCACAACCTGGCCGGCAGAAGTGAGCCCTAGCTCCCCAGAAGATTCTGAAGGGCTGAGCCCAAGATTTTTGCTTTCTGGGGAACTGTAACTCTCTTACTTCTTCACATTCGCCCCAATACCACCCATGGGAAGTCCAGTCTGTCTGTCGTAAAGGAATTGAGCCCTGCTCCTAGACCCACTTGATGCCCTTCATTCATGCCAACAGGTATGAGAGTTCACTAGGAGCTCTGGAGTAATCTCCGGTCCACCTCTGCATTGCTGGGAAGGTGCTCAAATTCTCCTATCACAAGTTTAAAATCACCTAAAGGACTACTGCAAGGAGCTCTGGTAGCGTAGTGGTTACGAATCGGGCTGCAAACCTTAAGGTCAGCAGTTCGAAACTACCAGCTATTCTGTGGGAGAAAGATGAGGCTTTCTGCTCCCATAAAAATTTACAGCCTCAGAAACCCTGTACAGGGTCGCTATGAGTTGGAACCGACTCCATGGCACATAACCACCACCACCACCAAAAGCCTATTGTAGTTTTAAATTTCATTTTCTTTTTCTTGAATTAGAAGAATCCTTGGGATGCCCAACGGTGACCCAGCTCCCACCCAAGTCACCCAAGTCACCCAAGTCACCCAAGCCGTCCAAATCACCCAAACAGGGTGCATCAGACCAGGGAAGAAGCGGTCAGTGGGGGTAAGATTCTTAATTTGACAGGATTAGGTCTTTGGGCAGTAGAGAAGCCTATGGAAGAACTGACTATGGTGGCTGCTCTGTAAAACAAATAGTGAGGTGATTCCTAAGTAGTCGAGTCCACTACTAACCTGTAAAAGGACAGCTGAGTGTCCCTGGTCATGACAGATTATGACAAACCTAGACTGGAGGCATAGTCTGAAGCAATTTCTAGCCACAAGGCCATACTGTATCCAGAACATGGGGAACTGAATCATGTTGGGAAGGGCTCAATGGTGTCTGGAACAAATGATGTAAAGTCTCGCTGTTTGCCTCTTTTTAAAATTCTAAGAGACTCAGTTGGATTCCTGGTGTGATGCTATGGGATAAGCACTTCACCACAAGGTTGATTTGAACCACAAGGTTGGCAGTTCAAACTCACCAGCTGCTCCTTGGAAACCCTATACAGGGTTGCTATGGGCCGAAATTGATTCGACAGCAAGATACTCATGTATGGGGAAAGGCAATACTGAAAATGGGGTGTAGCTTCATGGAAATGATTTAGAGGGAACTGTTTCTTAGAATCTCAAAACTGAAAGTTATCTTGCAAGGCACAAATCTAAAGTTATCTGTAATATTAATTTTCCAATAATTGTGAAATACTCTATGAAATTTATTTAGGGAGAAGACTGAAGTTAACTCGGATATGACACCCAGCCAGAAAAGGACAGAGGTGAGAATTCAGCAATGAAGTCTGGGAGTCCAGGCAAGTTAATAAAGCAAACAGCTGAGGTAGGTAGAACATGAAGTCTTAGAAAATAGATCCTTAGCTTCTCAGAGACCTCTGGACGTATTGTATCTTCCTCTAGACTGTGTGGCAGGCTGAACCACACTGACTTGGCATGTTGGTTATGTGTCCAACAGCTCCAAGGGAGAAAGATGAAGCTTTCTGCTCCTGTAAAGATGAACAGCCTCAGAAACTCTGTACAAGGTCGCTATGAGTTGGAATCTACTCGATGAAATTGGTTGGTTGGATTGGCTTTTGTCATTGTTAGATGCCATCGAGTCTATTCTGAGTCATAGTGACCCCATCCATGCACAACAGAACGAAACACTGCCTGGTCCTGAGCCATCCTCACAGTTACTACTACACTTGGGCCCATTGCCGCTGCCACTGTGCCAATCCGTCTCATTGGGGGTCTTCCTCTTTTTCACTAAGCCTCACTTGACCAAACGTGATGTCTTTCTCCAAGTCTCATCCCTCCTGATAACATGTCTGAAGTATGAGAGACGAAGTGTGGCCATCCTGGCTTCTAAGGAGCATTCTGGGTGTACTTCTTCTAACAGAGATTTGTTTGTTCTTCTGGCAGCCCTCGCTATTTTTTAATATTCTTCTCCTGGCGTGGCATTGTGGGATAAAGCACTGGACTGCAAAGTCAGTTTGAACCAAGGTCACTGTTTCAAACTTACCAGTCGCTCCTTGGAAACCCTATAAAGGGTCACTATTAGTCAGAAATGACCCATAGCACTTAACAACAAAAACAACAACACCATAACTCACATGCATCAGTTGAAGGTCCCTAAAACTTTACTCCATTTATGTCATCATAATCACCTCTACTTTGAGGAGGCAGCTCTTCCCCAATTGTTTTGTGAGTGCCTTCCAACCTGAGGGGCTCATCCTCCAGCACTATATCTGACAATATTCTGGTTCTATTCATAATGTTTTCATCTTCTGGCATTATATCTGACAGTTTTCTGCTGTTTGCTATCCACAAGGTTTTCAGGGACTAAACATTCAGAAGTAGCCTGCATCACCTTCTTCCCACTCTGTTAGTCTGGAAACTTGTCCAGCATAGGTTATCCTATTGGGATTTATTTCGGTGGCATAGCTGCCAGCATCATACAAGCCACCACAGTATGACAAATCAACAGACGAGTGGATTGGCTACTGAGGTGTTATTTATCAAGACACAGTGGTGGCCATGAGTCAGTCAATTCTAACTCATAGTGACCCTGTAGAGGGTTTCCAAGGCTGTAAATCTGTATGGAAGCAGAGAGCCTCATCTTTTACCCTGGTAAATTCAAACTGCTGACCTTGCAGCTAGCAGCCCCAACACATAACCCACTATGATATTCACTAGTCTAAATAGCTTACAAATATGTAATCTGTTTAATTTTGATATATGTAAACATCCATGAAAGGAGCTCTGGTAGCGTAGTGGTTATGAATCGGGCTGCTAACCTCAAGGTTGGCAGTTCGAAACTACCAGCCATTCCATGGGAGAAAGATGAGACTTTCTGCTCCCGTAAAGATTTACAGCTCGGAAACCCTGTGCAGGGTCACTATGAGTCAGAACTGACGCCATGGTACTTAACAACAACAACAAATATCCGTGAAACCATCACCACAGTCAAGATGATGTTTTCTTGTACCCTTTGTCATCCCTCCCTCTCCATACCCAACACCACTCCCAGGTAGCAACTGATCTGCTTTCTGTAACTACATAACAGATCGTATTTCTTTAGAGACTTATATGAAGGTGAAAGGAGCTCTGGTAGCGTAGTGGTTACAAATCGGGTTGTGAACCACAAGGTCAGCAGTTGGAAACTATCAGCTGTTCCGCGAGAGAAAGATGAGGCTTTCTGCTCCCGTAAAGATTTACAGCCTTGGAAACCCTGTACAGGGTCGCTATGAGTCGGAACCGACTCCACAGCACACAACAACAACAACAACAATGAAGGTGAAGGAGCTCTGGTAGCATAGTGGTTATGAATCGGGTTGCTAATCTCATGGTCAGCAGTTCGAAACTATCAGCTGTTCCGCAGGATAAAGATGAGACTTTCTGCTCCCATAAAGATTTACAGCTTCAGAAACCCTGTACAAGGTCCCTATGAGTCAACACCGACTCCACAGCAAACAACACCAACAACCATGAAGGTGAGTCAGAAAGTATTACTACTAGGGTTCCAGTTTATAAAACACAGGTTTACTCCAAACAAAACATGTTTATACACATCTCTGTGATAAGTGGATGGTTGCAGACTAGTGATAAAATTTTGCAAGACCAGTGACTTATTTACTGCAAATACCTTTTATCAGCACCTTTTTCAATACCCTTTTTGGAACTTCATTTGCTGACTGGGCACCACTCAAAATGAAAAGAAATCGTTGCAAACATCCATTAATCATCAGAACATGGAGTATGTGAAGTTTGAATCTATAAACTGCAATGGTACACATGGCCTTCCCAGATGTAATACAAAGGAATTACATCTGTAGGAAGAGATGCTAGAAAACTTTAATATCATCCGCCAGAACAAGACTAGATGGCAGACTGTGGAACAGATCATCACCTGCTCGCATGCAAGTTCAAGCTGAAGCTAAAGAAAAGTAAAACAAGTCAACAAGAACCAAAACACAACCTTGAACCTATCCTCCCTGAAGTTAGAGACCATCTCAAAAACAGATTCATGCATTTAACATTAAAGACTGAAGCCCAGACGACTTGAGGGATGACGTGAAGGACGTTATACAGGAAGAAAGCAAAAAGATCATTAAAGAGGAAGAAATGGAACAAAGATCAAAGTAGATGTCAGAAGAGACTCTGAAACGTGCTCTTGAGCATAGGGAAGCTACAACAACTGGAAGAAATAATCAAGTAAACTTTTGCTGAAGATAATTTAAAAACAGTACATCAACAGGGAACGTCCAGAAATTCAAGGCAGATTTAAAAGAGGAAATAGGATAAGAAACATCATTACTGAAAATCAGATGGATCTTGGCTGAAAGCAGAGAATACCAGAAAGATGTCTGCCCGTGTTTTTTGGACTATGCAAAGGCATTCAACTGTGTGGATCATAACAAACTGTGGGTAACATTGAAAAGAATGGAAATTCTAGAACAATTTATTGTGCTCATGAAGAACCTGTGCATAGACCAAGAGGCAGTCTTTCAAACAGAAGAAGAAGACAAAGAATAGTTTAAAATCAGGAAAGGTGTGAGTCAGGGTTGAATCCATTCATCATACTTATTCAATCTGTATGCTAAGCAGAAAATACAGAAACTGGACTATGTGAAGAAGAACATGGCATCAAGATTGAGGAAGACTCATTAACAGGCTGAGATAGGCAGTGATGCATTACTTAATGGAAGTGAAGACGATTTGAAATACTTGCTAATGAAGATCAAAAACTACAGTCTTAAGTACAGATTACACTTTAATGAAAAGAAAATGAAAACTCTCACAACTGGACTAGTAAATAACATCATATTAAACAGAGGAAAAAATTAAATGCCAAAGACTTCATTTTGCTGTATCCACAACCAAAGCTCATGGAAGCAACAGTCGAGAAATCAAACGGCATATTGCGTGAGGCAAGTCTGCTGCAAAAGACCTCTTTCAAGTGTTCAAGAACAAAGATGTCAGTTTGAGGACTAAAGTGCACTGTGGTATTTTCAATAGCCTCATATGCATGTGAAAGTTAGACAATGAATAAAGAAAACTATAGAATAAACAATGCATTTGAATTATGGTGTTGGGAGAAGAATGTTGAAGGTCCCATCGACTGCCAGTAGAACAAACAAAGCTGCTTTGTGAAAAGTATAGCCAGAATGCTCCAGGATGTTGAGACTTCAGCTCTTGTACTTTGGACATGTGAAAAGTATAGCCAGAATGCTCCAGGATGTTGAGACTTCAGCTCTTGTACTTTGGACATGTTTTTAGAAGGGACCAAAATCTTAGAGAAAGACATCATGCATGGTAAAGTGGAGGGTCAGCAAAACAGGAAAATTCCCCATGTGACTGAGACAGTGTCAGCAACAATGGGCTCAAATATAACAATTGTGAGGATGGTACAGGACCAGGCCGTGCACAGGGTCACAATGAGTCAGAACCAACTCAACAACCCCTAACAACAACATGACAGTAACTCTCAAACAGGGGTGATTTTGCCCCATAGGACATTTGGCAATGTCTGGAGACGTTTTTGGTTGTCACAACTGGGGAGGGAGGTTGCTACTGGAATCCAGTAGGTAGAGGCCAGAAATGTTACTGAACATTCTACAATGTACAAGATAACCCCCACAACAATGATTTGACCTTAAACATCAGTGCAGCTGAGAAATCCTGATGTAAGGGAAATATAAGAACCCTTGCTTTCTGCCTGATGTTTGAGACATTGCCCAGCTTTCCACATGTACATGAAACGATTGAAAATACCTTGGCTTGGGTCAGGTGCACCTTAGTCCTCAAAGTGACTTCTTTGCTCTTTAACACTTTAAAGAGGTCTTAGGCAGCAGATTTGCCCTGGGCAATACATTGTTTGATTTCTTGACTTCTGCTATCATGAGCATTGATTGTGGACCCAAATAAAATGAGATCTTTGACAACTTCAATCTTTTCTCCATTTATCATAATGTTGCTTATTGGTACAGTTGTGAGGATTTTTATAACTTCTTTACATTAAGTTGTAATCAATACTGAAGGCTGTACTCTTTGATCAGCAAGTGCTTAAACTTCCTTTCAGCAAGCAAGGTTGTGTCATCTACATGTCACAGGTTGTTAATGGACCTTGTGCCAACCCTGATACTAGGTTCTTCATATAGTCCAGCTTTCTCATATTATTTGCTCAGTATACAGACTGAATAAGTATGGTGAAATGATACAACCTTGGCACACCCCTTTCCTAATTTTAAACCATTCAGTTTCTCCTTGTTCTATTCTAATGACTATCTCTTGGTTTATGTACAGGTTTCTCATGAACACAAGTAAGTGTTCAGGAATTTCCATTCTTTGCAATGTTATCCATAATCTGTTATGATCCACAGGATCACATGTCTTTGTATAGTCAATAAAGCATGGAGCACAAGCAAACATCTTTCTGGTATTCTCAGCTTTCAACCAAGATTCATATGGCATCAGCAATGATATCCTTTGTTCCACATCCTCTTCTGAGTCTGGTTTTTATTTCTGGCAGCTCCCTGTCAATGTACTGATGAAATTATTTTTTAAATTTCCTTCAGCAAAATTTACTTGGGGATGATATTGTTTCATTAATTCCACAATCTGTTCGGTCATCTTTATTTAAAATGGATTTCTTACAGGCAGTTGGCCAGGTAGCTGTCTTCCAAATTTCTTGACAGAGACTAATTGTTAAGGGAGCCACTCTGAAGGAATCGGCCTTGACACATGTTTTTAATTAGAGACTTTGTTATGTTATCTTCTCGAAGTTGAGTCTGTACCAGGAGAAGTTTAGCTGTGATAATCATGTGGGGGCTGAGGTGGTCTGTCGCTTAGTTCCTGGAATGTGGTCCCTGTCTTTGGAAGGAGATATGGATATGTACTCTGGAGGGAAAGGTGGGTGCTCAGTGCCTGTTGCCACCAGCATGCCCACCTTATAATGAGTACTTCCAGCACTGCCTCCGATTTGTTGAAACATTTTAATTGGCATTCCATCAATTCCTGGAACCTTATTTTTCACTACTGTCTTCAGTGTGCAGCTGGGGTTTGTTCTTTCAATACCATGGGTTCTTGATCCTATGCTGCCTTTTGAAATGGTTGAAATGGTCCATCCTTTTGGGTACAGTGACTGTGTATTCCATCCATCTTCTTTTGTTACTTCCTGTCTCATTGAATCGTTTGCACATAGAATCTTTCAATACTTCAAGTTGAGGCGTGATTTTTTTCTTCAGTTCTTTCAGCTTGAGAATTGATGAGTATGTTCTTCCCTTTTGGTTTTCTAACTCCGTATCTTTGCACATTTCACTATCATACTTTCCTTTGTCTTCTCAAGCTGCCCTTTGAAGTTTTCTATTTAGCTCCTTTACTTCATTTACCCCATTGGTTTGAGCTACTCTACATTTGAGAGCAAGTTTCGGTACTTCTTCTGACATCCATTTTGGTCTTCTTAACTTTCCTATCTTTCTTTTTTTTCTTTAAATCTTTGTTGCTGTTGTTATATAGTTTTTAACTCTTCATTGTGAATTGAGTGAAGGTTTACAGAGCAGATCATCAGTTTTACATTCCACAATCATATATTTCATTTCATTCAGTCCCCTAAATGTAGCATCACCTATCTCATGGCCCCCTGAGATTCTTGTTTCCATTCCTTTATATTTCCCAACACTTCTGAGTTTTGGCCTTAGGTAAATGCTGCCCTTTTGACCATTCTATGGCATGACTAGCTCACTACTGTTGCTGTGTCTTCCATTCCCATAAACTTACCTATTTACAGCTTGGCTGAAAATTGAGCTATGAAGGTGAGTTCACTTCCAAACTTGAAGGGTGAGCCAGGCCCAGAGCCTTGGAGTTCCTTCTGGCCCTTACTGACTGGTAAGCCTGTTTCTTTGTTTTTATGATTTTAAGTTTTGCTCCACATTCTCACCCACTCTCTCCAGGATCTTCTAATGAGACCCCATTCAGCACAGTTGGTTGTGGTAAATAGGCACCATTTAGTTCTGGTTTCAGGGTAATGGGAGACTGATGTTCACATGTTTCATTAGTCCATTGAACTAATTGTTTCCGATAATATTAATATTTCATCACTCTTCTTTCTTCCAAACAGGAAGAGACCAACAGTTAGTTGCACCTTAGATGGCTGTTCATGAGCTATTAACAACCCCTGCTACTCACCAAAGTAGGTTGTAGAACATTGTTTTTGTGGACAATGTTATGCCAATTTACGATGGTGTATTTGTCTCATTGAGCCAGACAGCAAAGCCGTTTGAACTGCAAGGTTGGCAGTTCAAGCTCATCAGCTGCTCCTCGGAAACCCTATACAGGGTCGCTATGGGTTGGAACCGACTCGACGGCACTTAATAACAACATTTGTCTCATTGGGGGTCTTCCTCTTTTTTGTTGACCCTCCACTTAATCAAGTATGATGTCCTTCTCCAGGAGCTGGATCCTCCTGATAATATGTCTGAAGTATGAGAGACAAAATCTCATCATCCTGACTTCTAAGGAGCATTCTAGCTGCACTTCTTCCAACACAGATTTATTTGTTCTTCTAGAAGTTCATGGTACTTTGAATATTCTTCTCCAACACCATAACTCAAAGGCATCAATTCTATGGCCCTGTTGTTCATTGTCCAACTGTTGCATGCATACGAAGCTATTGAAAACACCATGGCTTGAGTCAGACATACCTTAGTCCTCAAACTGACATCTTTGCTCATGAACAATTAAAGAAGTCTTATGCAGCAGATTTGATTGATTAATATTTCCATGAGTGCTGATAGTAGATTTAAACAAAGTGAAGTCTTTGACAATTTAAATATACTCTCCACTTACCACACTGATATTTGTTGGTCCAGTACTAAGGGATTTTGTTTTCCTCACATTGAGGTGCAACTTATATTGAAGGCTGTGGTCAAGCAAGGTTGTATCATCTGTATATCGCAGGTTGTTAATGAGTCTTCCTCCAATCCTGATACCACGTTCTTCTCCATACAATCTAACATCTTGGATTATTTGCTCAGCATACAGATTGAATAAGTATGATGAACAAATACAATCCTGGCACACACTTTTCCTGATTTTTAAACCATTTAGTGTCCTGTTGTTTGGTTCAAATGACTGTCTCTTTCTCTATGTGTAGGTTCTTCATGAGCACAATTAAGTGTTCCAGAATGCTCATTCTCTGCAATGTGGTCCATAGCTTGTCATGATCCACACAATCAAAAATCTTTGTATAGTCAATAAAGCACAAGTAAACATCTTTCTGGTATTATCTGCTTTCAACCAAGATCCATCTGATGTCAGCAATGATAGCCCTTGTTCCAAGTTCTCTTCTAGATCCTGCTTACATTTCTGGCAGTGTTCTGTTGATTTACTGGTGCAGCCATTTTTAATTCTCTTTAGCAAAATTTTTTTTTGCATGGGATATTAATGAAAGTGTTAGGTGATTTTGGTATTCTGTTGGGTCACCTCTCCTTGAAATAGGCACAAATATGGATCTCTTCAATTGGTTAGCCAGGTAGCTGTCTTCCAAATTACTTGGCATGGATGAGTCAGTGTCTTCATGGCTGCATCAGTATTTTAAAAAGATTTAAAGTTCTATTCCATCAGTTCCTGGAGCCTGGTTTTTCACCAGTACCTTCAGTGCACCTTGGGCATTTTCTTTCAGTACCATTGGTTCTTAATCATATGCTGCCTCTTGAAATGTTTGAACATCAACTGTTTCTTTTTTGTACAGTAACTAAGTATAATCCTTCCATCTTTTTATGCTTTTTGCATCATTCACTATTTTTCCCATAGAATCCTTCAGTATTTCAAGTCAAAGATTAAATTTTTCTTCAGTTCTTTCTGTTTGAGAAATGTTTAACTTATTCTTCCCTGTTGGTTTTCTAACTCCAGGTTATATTTCATTACAATCGTTTACTTTGTCTTCTGAAGCTGCCCTTTGAAATTTTCTGTCCAGCTCTTTTAATCCTCATTTTTTTCATTTGCTTAAGCATCTCTAGGCTGGGGAGCAAGTTTCAGAGTCTCTTCTGATATCCATTTTGGTCTTTTCCTTCTTTCTCGTCTTCTTAATGACCTTTTGCTTTCTTCCTGTACGATGTTCTTGATGTCATCCCACAACTCTTCTGATCTTTGCTCATTACTGTCTAATGCATCAAATCTGTTCTTGAGATGATCTGTAAATTCAGATGATCTCTAAATATGTTCACGGTCATATTTTGGCTCTCATGGATTTGTTTTAGTTTACTTCTACTTCAGCCTGAACTTACATATAAGCAACCGATGGTCTGTTCCATAGTCTGCCCATGGTCTTCTTTTGGCTGATGATATGGAGATTTTCCAGCGTCTCTTCCCACACATGCAGTTACTTTGATTTCTGTGTGTCTTTTATGTTGTTTAAAAAAGATATTTGCAAAATTCTTTCATGTGATCTCTAGCATCATTTCTATTACCAAGGTCATATTTCTCAACCACTGATCCTTCCTCTTTGTTTCCACCCTTTGCATTCCAATCACCAGTAACTATCAATACATCTTGATTACATGTGTGATCAATTTCAGACTGAAGAAATAGTTAGAATTCTTCCACTTAATCAACACCGACTTTAGAGGTTGGTGTATACATTTGAATAATAGTGGTATTAACTGGTCTGCCTTGCAGTTGTATGGATAGATAGTATCCTATCACAGACAAGATATACTTCAAGATAGATCTTGAAATGTTCTTTTTGATAATGAATATGCTGCCATTTCTCCTCAATTCCTCCTCATTGCCAGTATAGTAAACTGTATGATTGTCAGATTTAAAATGTCCAATGCCAGCCCATTTCAGCTCACCAATGCCTAGAATATGGATCTTTATGCATTCCATTGCATTTTTGACAAGTTCCCATTTTACTAGATTCAAGCTTCGTGCATCCCATGTTCTGATTATTAATGGATGTTTACATTATTTCTCCTCATTCTGAGGTCTTCCTTTTAGGCATATGGATATTGTCCTATCATAGATTGCCTTGTATTTGAAGATGACTTTTTACCCTCCTTAGCAACCCTAGTTCTTCTCCCAGCACCTAATCAAACTGGCCTTGTTAGTGATGTCTACCATGCTGATCTAATGTTCTCATTGCTTAGCTCTTCGGTCACCTTCTTTGATTCCTGAGGACCTTCAAATGCTACTTTGGCCTTGTACTCTGTCATTGGGGGAGAGTGGAGTGGAATTATCGCCCTTCTCCTTTGTCATTTCTGTGACAGTATATTTTTCCTGCCAGAAAGAACCATGACAATTACGAACATCCAGATTTCAGGGAGGCATATATCCACATCTCATTTCTTGGACCTATGACATAAGAAAATTCAGCCCAGCTCTCCTACAGTATACTTCTGCTATGAGAAGAGTCCTGGTGTGGCATAAGCACTGGACTGCTCAGCATAAAGTCGGTGGTTCAAACCCACCAAGCTGCTCCTTGTAAAACAGGGTTGATATGAGTCAGAACCGACTCAACACACTTAACGACAACATTATAAATTGTCCATTTTCATCAAAAAATACGAGGCACACAAGAAGTGGTAGGACCCCACACCCAAAAAACAAAAACAAAATACCTTGCCCAAACAAAACAGTTAATAGAAGCTGTTCTTGAGGGGGCCCAGATGTTAGACTTAGCAGATAAAGACTTCAAAACAGCCATTATGAATATGTTTACAGAGCTAACAGAAAGCAGAATGACAATAATTCATCAGATGGACACTATCAAAGAGACAGATATTATAAGAAAGCCCCAGATTGAAAGTAACCAAGAGGTAACATTATGGCTTGCAGGTGGGAAGCTGGTGATCAGCAACTGATGGCATGGTTGTGCAGAAAAGAGGAGGACCCTCTGGGCTACCAGCAGGCAACAGGGGATGGGAGGAGGGTAAGGGAAGTGGGCATCTGGGCACATGTGGGCAGGAGGACTTTGAACACTGGTTCCCTGGTCAAAAGGACCCCAGAAAGTCGAAGGTTGCCAAGGTGCTGGAGGACTGAGAGTGTGAACTCATACATTATTCCACTGACTATCCTCAGACTCACACTCTTGACTCTCAGTTCTTCTTCACAACCAGAAACTGCAGGAAAGCCTCTTCTTTCTGCAATGGCCCTGCAGTGCCCTCTGCTGAGAAAGCTTAGTATCTTGTTTACTCTAAAGGAGAAATGCATGAGGGAATTCCATTGTTAATCACAGTTTGAAGGGCAATAAATTGTTAACTAGCACAGATAAGTCGTACAAATGTCCTCTAAAGTTCTCTAATGAGGATGATCACAGGAGAGGGGATGTTCAGTGGTCCTTTGTGTGAAGAGAAGTGATGGACAACAGTGAGGCAATCTTACTCTGAGCTGCAATAGCTCCCCAGCTGAGCCTCTGGAGTTTGTTTCTATATGTGTTTTTGTTTTTCCATTATAGGACAAACCAAGGCCACAACCTGGAGACCTGATTGAGATTTTTCGAATTGGCTATGAGCACTGGGCCATCTATGTGGAAGATGATCATGTGGTCCATCTGGCTTCACCGAGTAAGAGTGAATACTCTATAGAATTACTGATATTGAAGGCAATTACTGTACTCGTCAGCTGCTGCTCTTCTTAGAAATAAAGGGACACTTGATTTAACCCCTATTTACTATACAAAAAAGCTTGGTCTCTTTCCAAGCTAATCACTGAGTGTCTAGCATTAAGAGAAATGAAAGTGTAAAAAGGGTCCCTCAAGTTCCCTGACCTTATAGATCATCCTTTATTTGAAAAGTACAACTCTAAGAGCTTGAACCTCCAGTGTGTAGTGACAACAGTACAATGTTATCATTGTTGTTGTTAGGTGCCATAGACTTGGTTCCAACTCATAGTGATCTTATTATATACAATAGAATGAAACAGTGCCTAGTCCTACAGCAACCTCACAATCATAGCTTTGTTAGAACAAATGCTGCAGCCACAGTCTCAATTCATTTCATTAAAAGGCCTTTTTGTTGATGCTGACCCTCTACTACCCTTCTCCAGGGCCTGATCCTTCCTGGTGGCATGCCCTCTACGTCTTCCAACACAGATTTGTTCATTCTTCGGACAGTCTGTGGTATATTCAATATTCTTCACCAGCCCCATAATTCAAAGGCATCAATTCCTCTTCAGTCTTCCTTATTCCTTATCCAACTTTCACATGCAGAGTCCTCAAAGTAACACATTTGCTTTTTCACATTGTAACTAGGCCTTTAGAAGCGTATTTGACCAATGCAACACGTAGTTTGATTTGTTGACTGGCGTTTCCATAGGCATTGATTGAGGATCCGAATAAAATGAAATCCTTGACAGCTTCAATGTTTTTTCCATTTATCATGATGCTGCTGCTTAGTCCCCTTGTGAAGAGGTGTGTTTTCTTTATATTGCAGTATAATCCACACTTTCATCAATAAGTGCTTCAAGTTTTCTATGCTTTCAACAAGCAAGGTTGTGTTGATTGCGTATCACAATGTGTTAATGAGTCTTCCTCCAATCCTGATGCCACATTCTTCTTCATGTAGTCCAGCTTCTTGGATTATTTGTTCAGCATACAGCTTAAATGAGCGTGGTGAATGGATACGACCCAGATGCACACCTTCCCTCATTTTAAACCATGTCACATATTCTGTTCAAATGACTGACTGCCTCTTGGTGCATGTACGTCTTCCACATGAGCACAATGAACTGCTTAGAATTCCCATTCTCCAAAATGTTATCTACACTTTGTTGGGATCCATCCAACCTTTACACAGTTAATGAAACATAGGTAAGTATCTTTTTGGTATTCTCTGCCTGTCATCTGATATCAGCAATGATATCCTGCATTTTACTACCTCTTTTGAATCTTACTTGAATTTCTGACCGTCTCCTGATAATGTACTGCTGCAATTATTTTTTAATTGTCTTCTGCAAAATTTTATTTATATACAGTATTAATGATATTGTTAAATCTGTTGGATCACCGCTTTTGGTAATGGGCATAAATATAGATCTCTTTCAGTCGGTTGACAAGGTAGCAGTCTTCCAAATTTCTTGGCATAGACGCACGAGCATTTCCAGTGCTACCTCCATTTGGTGAAACATTTCAATTGGTATTCCATCAATTCTCGGAGCCTTATTTTTCACCAATGCCCTTAGTGCCATGTATACTTCTTCAATACTATCAATAGTTCTTGATCATATTCTACCTCATGAAATGGTTAAATGTCAACCAATTATTTTTGGTGCAATGATTCTGTATATTTCTTCCATCTTCTTTTGATGCTTCTAGCATCTTTCAATACTCTTCCCATAGAATCCTTCAGTACTGTGACTCATCTTGATTTTTTTTTTTTTTTTTAGCTTGAGAAATGGTAAGTGTGTTTATTCCTTTTGGTTTCCTAATTCCAGGTCTTGGCACATTTCATTTTAATACTTTACTATGTTTTCCTGAGATGCCCTTGAAATCTTATATTCAGTTCTCCATTGTTTCTTCCATTTGCTTTAGATATTCTAAGTACAAGAGCAGGATTCAGAGTCTCTTCTAATAGCCATTTTTTTGTCTTATCTTTATTTTCTGTCTCTTTAATGACCTTGTGCTTTCATCATGTATGATGTTCTTGATGTCATCCCACAACTCATCTGGTCTTTAGTCAATGTGTCCAATGTGTCAAGACTATTCATGAAGTGCTCTCTAAATTCAGATTGGATATATTGAAGGTCATAGTTTGAGTCTCTCTGACTTGTTGCAATTGTCTTCAACTTCAGTTTCAGCCTGCATGTGAGTAATTGGTGATAGGTTCTGCAGTCGGCTCCAAGCCTCGTTCAGACTGATGGTTTTGAGTTTCTCCATCGTCTATTTCCACAGATGTGGTTGATTTTATTCATGTGTAGCCCATCTGGCGAGGTTGAGGTGTATAGTCACTTTTTATGTTGATAAAAGGGTATTTGCAATGAATAAGCCATTGGTTTTGCAGTATTGTATCATGTCATCTTCAGCGTCATTTCTATCACCAAGTCCGTATTTTCCAACTGCTGATCCTTCTTCGTTGTTTCCAGCTATCTCGTTCCAGTCCGCACTCGTCTATTGCATTGTTGTACTGTAGTAAATTGCATGTTGCTGTGATGTTGGAAGCTATGCCTACGGTTTTTCAAATACCAGTAGGGTCACCGATGGTGAAGAGGTTTCAGAGTAAGACAGACCTTCTATTTTAGAGTTTCCAGTCTAAAACAGAGTAGGAAGAAGGAAGCTGAAGTTCACTTGTGAAAACTTAACCACTGAAAACCTTATGAATATCAGCAGGACACTGTCTAATATAATGCCAGAAGATGAGCTCCTCAGGTAGGTACTCAAAATACACCTGGTAAGAATTGCCTCTTCAAAGTAGAGTCAACCTTTATGACGTGGATAGAGCAAAAGCTCACAGGACCTTCATCTGATGAGGTGGCATGGCTCCTATTGAAAAAAACAGCTGCAAGCATCCTTTAATAATCAGAATTTGGAATGTACAAAGTATGAATCTAGGAAGATTGAAAGTCATCAGAAATTAAATTGAATGCTTAAAAATTAACATTGTAGGCATTACTGACCTGAAATGGACGGTACTAGTCATTTTTATTCAGACAATCATATGACCTACTATGACAGGAATGACAAATTGAAGAGGAATGGTGTCACATTCATTGTCAAAAATAACATTTCAAGATCTATGTTGAAGTACAGTGCTTCAGTGATAGAATAATATCCATGTGCCTGGTGTGGCACTATAGGATAAACACTCTACCACAAGGTTTGTTTGAACCTCAAGGTCCACAGTTCAAACTCGCTATGAGTCAGAACCAACTCGACAGCACTTAGTAACATAACAGCACAATGAAGAGCAGTTCATATGACATTATTCAGATTTACCCAACAACCACCAATGCCAAAAGTGAGGAAATTGAACATTTTTATCAGCTTCTGCAGCCTGAAATTGCTTAAACATGCAATCAAGATGCATTAATAAATACTGGTGGTTAGAATATGACAGTATTGCAGCTTGTAAACTTTTCTTTTTAAAAGCTTTGGGACCTGTTTTCAAAAAGAACCCTTAATGAGAATCCTGATATTTGAATACAGATTAGAGTTGAATTGCTCTGGTTAGCTGGTGCCATTTGGAGTTCCCTGTCTAGTTGCTTCCTTGTGCCCCTGCAGAGCCCCTGGAAGCATGCTGTGAACAGTTTCAAAAACACTTCTGTCATATACCTGATAGCACTATGCCCAGGAACTCACAAATACACAGAGAGTGCTCTATGCATGTTACTGGTGAAGGTCACTGAAGTCTGGGTAGCAAAGCAAGACTCAAATTCAAGAGCCAGGACCTGAGGACACTTGATCCCATGGAGAAGGACTTAGCCACAGAGGGCTAGAGCTGAGAGTGAAGCATCCAGCTGATATGAAGTGAGGGGAGATGCACAAGAACACCCAAACTTGCATGCAGGACCCTTTTGACCTAGCCTCGATGGCTCGATAATCAGAACT